CGGCGGACTCACTGTCTCTAATTTCGCGAATTATAGTTTAAACAAAAACTAAATTGATTTAATAAAAGCCATTTTGCTCAGAAAAATTTCAACATTGCGCAATAAATACTGACTCTACCAACCGCATTGCGCGCGGTCACAAAAGTTTTCTGAAAATAAGGCTGATTAGAGTACGTTAAAGGGAAGAGCAAAGAATACGTTCATTTAGAAAATACTACTATTTTTCTAGAAAATGATTATAAACTTGAGTATGCATTAATATTTGCAGAAATATTTGTAGAAATTGTATTTTGAATGTTCATTATTAAAATGAAGTATGCACATTAGTAATATATCATGTCATGTCGAAAATGTTTGCACAAATCAAAATTTCATAGCTAAATGTATTTAAAAAGATCATATATGTGTGAAATCTTGTTCTGAATCGTTTAAAAAGTATATTGTAGCAAAAATATAGAAACTTTGAATTTAATCTAATATAAGAATATATATCCATTTGAAAGTATATACCATTAAGCTACCACGATCTCCATATTCGAAATAAAATATTAATTGATTTAATCTTTTCCATTTTCATCCTTGTATCCCATATAATTACAAAATTACGTATTCTGAATTGTACTTCAAATATATATATAAATTATATAGTGAATGTTACCTAGAATGAATAAAATGTTACCAATTTTTCGTGAAAATTCATCAAATTGTTCATCAATGATCAGGCATTTATGCATTCTATGCTATCTTTGCAACCTGTACGAAAAGAAGTCAAAAGTTAGAACAAATATGTCAAATGAAGGCATATATGTGAAAGTGAAACAATAATTAACTTCAAATTCTATTTATAAAAAACGTACGAGATAAGGTACCGGTAAATATAAGAGTAAAACTTTTGGTTGATGCTTTTTTCTGAATGATTTTTCTAGATAATACTTTGTTCTTTACAGACGACGTATACTTCCTTCCGCCATACTTCTCGTTTAAAAATCGATCGTGAGAAATATCGATTACGTTCGAGAATCGTAGGATGTATATTGTATGCTTCACCGTTGGCGCTGTAATCGCGTGTTTCGCACGAAATGTTAACTGGAAATAAAAAATAAAAAATTCTGGCCCAAATCAAGTACACAAAATTCATAAGAAATTGTTAAAAAAGAACAAACATATCTACACACTTGATGAAAACTTTTTCAAACTTGTCAATACTTTAAACTGAGACAAGAGAAATTTTATTATATTACGCTGTAGATTTATTATTTTAGCCATTAAACACGTACATCTTTACTACATTATTGTTGAATTTAGTATTGAAATCGTTAAGAATTATGCAGTATAAGGTTAAACAATCACAAATAGTAGAACTTGTTTGTACAACAAAAATAAAAGCTTATTGTGTGTGTGTGTGTGTGTGTGTGTAAATAAAAAGATAGTCGTGTTACAAGACCACAATATTTATTGTGGTTAGAATTGAAATTTTGGTATAAAATTAATTCGTTAAATTTTACCTTGAGTTGATGCCAAAAATGCACGTTTTATCTTAAAAATACACAATACATACACAAATGTAACAACTATTGATTAATATTTTCATTTGAGAACTTTTGGATATCTCTTTCTAGGTGATTTTTTTTGATAACGCATCCTTCTTTACAGATGAGGCATGCTCCTTTCCGCCATTCTTCTCGTTTAAAAATCGATCGTAAGAAATATCGATTAGGTTCGAGAATCGTAGGAAGTATATTGCGTATTTCACCGCTGGGGCGCTGTAATCGCGCGGTTCACGCGAAATGATAATTTGGAATCAAAAATAAAAAATTCTAATCTAAATCAAACACACACAAAAAAAAGAAGAATTATCAATACTTTAAACTTTTATAATTTTATGAAAAAAATTTGTAAAATAATTAACTTGATTTTATTTTAGAGTGAAGAGAATTTCTTCACTTTAACAATCCTGAGTTTGTTTCGTTCAAAGATATTTATTTTTACATTATGTAGCAAAAATACTTTTCTTTTCGAAAATTGTAAAAATTCAAACATCTCGCCGAAGAGAAGTTTTTCCGTTTTTCAATTCAATAAATAACTCTAGAAGTCGATGTGATAGCGCTGTCCATATTTTTTGATTTTAAGTCTCATCACTAGTAGTGCTGCTGTGCAAAACCTACCTAAATCGGTACGACAGGATGTGATACGAAAATGGTAAGGAAGGCTTAGAATCTCTTGGAAATCATAGAACAAAAAAATATATGTATGCGAGATCTATTCATATACCTCGTTTGTGATTCTATCCTAAATAAATAAAATTTATGTAAACGAACTTATCGTATATAAATATTCATCTGTAGTGATACATCTATCTTATATTTTATCTGTGGCCCAGTTTTATCTAATGCGTTTTACGCGTCCAGTGACAGTTTCGAAAATGAAAGAGATGTGAGAGAGATGTATAAGGATGTGTAAAGAATGACGTTTATCGCTGTACAATATATACAAATTTAAATAACCAAACTAATTGAAAAAGATTAGAAATTTATAAAATGTCGGGTGAAATTGACATCTTTGACGATAACGAGGCGCAATTGTCTCAAGATCTTGGAGATGACGTTGTCCAAGAGGTTTTGAAGACTGGTACAGATTTACGTCAATATTCCAGACAAATTGAAAAAGAATTGAAAGAGGTGGAGAATAAATCTATTCAGGATTACATAAAAGAAAGCGAGAACATTGCAAGTCTTCATAATCAAATCGCTGCGTGTGATAATATTTTAGAGGTTAGGGTAACACATATGAATTACCAATACTTCTATAATTTAATATAATTTCTAAAATTTCATTACAGCCTCAAACTGAATATTTTCATGAAATATTAGTATGAAATTTAAAGTGTGTTTTGAAAATTGTTTTGCAGAAAATGGAATCCATGCTAATGAGCTTCCAATTAGATTTAGGAAGTATTAGTTCGGAAATACTTTATCTGCAACGCAAGTCTGTTGCAATGAGCCAACAATTGTCTAATAGGCAAATAATTAGAGGGCCTCTCAGTCAATTTATTGAAGATATGACAGTGTCTGAAGCTCTCATCGCGTAAGAATTGAAACTACAAAGACAATTCTTCACTAATTGACTTGAAATTTCTAATTTTGTAATTGCAATTTATTAGAGGGATTATGGATTGCCCCGTGACTGAAAAAGAATTTTTAACCCAACTGCAGACGTTAAACCATAAGATAAATTTCGTAAAGGAGCAGAGTTTTAAAGAAGCAAAGTCATGCTTGGATGTAAAAGACATATTAGAGAAACTGAAAGTAAAAGCACTAGCAAAGATCAGAACATATCTTTTGGAGCAGATTTATAAGTTCAGAAAACCAATGACAAATTACCAAGTGCCACAGAATAACATGTTGAAGTATAAATTTTTCTTTGAATTTATTTTGGCAAATGAAAGGAATGTAGCTGAAGAAATTTGCGGAGAATACATTAACACAATGAGTAAAATATATTATTCGTATTTTAAGTCATATTCTTCAAGATTAATGAAACTGCAGGTAAAATAATCCAGAAGAAGTTTTTCATAAAGCGAAAAGAAAAGTCTCTTTTTAATTATTAAATTACATAGTTTGAAGAAGGAGCGACTAAAGATGATTTGATGGGAGTCGAAGACACAGCAGGAAGAGGTATTTTTCATAAAACAACATTGAAGCATAGGGGTACAGTATTTTCTATAGGTAATAGAGGAGATGTATTAACTTCTCAATTGGAAGCACCCATTATAGTACCTCATACTGCATCTAAAACAAGAGTGAATATGAAAATTAAGATATTTTGAAACAAAATTGAATACATAGATATCAATACAATAATTCCTTTATATTTACAGTACCATTATGAAGCTTTGTTTAGAAGTGAACAATATGCTCTTGTAGATAACGCTTGCAGAGAATATTTATTTCTAACTGAATTTTTCAAAGTACGCGGTGTGCAGGCAATGGACATTTTTAATCAGGTAATATATTTGTCCATATTCCAGTGAAATTAATAAAATTGAACATATAAAATTATATATTTAAAAACTAGGTGATGGGAAAGACATTAAATCTAATGGTGAAAAATCTGCAATCTTTTGTGGAAGATTGCTATGATACCATTGCCTTATTTCTTTGTTTACATTTAATATTACGATACAATTTAACTTGTCATAAAAGAGCAGTACCAGCTTTGGATAAATATTGGGATAACATGACATCAGTAATTTGGCCTAGGTATTTAAATTTCAACGTAATAATAATTATAATTTTTGATCTCTTAAATGGGAATTCAGATATACATACTTTTGTGTGAATTTTTAGATTTGAGTATGTTTTTCAACTGAACATTCAAAGTATAAAGCATTGTGATACATTAAAGCTCACCCAAGAAACGGGACCACATTATGTGAGTTTATATCATTAAAGTTGTGTTTTAGAAGCTTATATTTCTAGAAATAGTTTAAAAAATTATTTTACAGATTACACGAAGATATGCTGAATTTAGTGCCGCAATGGTTAGTGTAGTTGAAGGATTTCCTTGTGAAGGAGCCACGCAATTATTAGCAGAATTACGAGAAGCCGTGCAATGTTTCCTATTAAGAATGGCTGCTACATTTTCCACTAGGATTCAGCAATTAGTTTTTCTCATCAATAATTATGATTTGGTTCTTGGTGTATTGATGGTAAAGGAATTAATTTATTATATTTAATTAATGTTAGAAAAATATAATCACATAATTATATGTGGTTATATTTTTTAGGAAAGAACACGTGATAATTCAAAAGAAGCAGAAAGTTTTCGCGACCAGTTAAATGCACGTTCGTCAGAATACGTCGAGGAAATTTTAAGTCCACATTTTGGAGGTATAATACAGTTTGTCAAAGAATCTGAAGTAATGATCGAAAAGGGTCAAACTGACGAATCGAAACGACAGGAGGGAAAAGCATTAGCTCTCGTACAATCTTTCACAAATAATTGGAAACGTGCATTAGAAGAAATTAATCACGAAGTACTGAAATCTTTTCCTAGTTTAGTACTTGGTACAGCACTCGTACAACGTGCAATGACACAGTTAGTGCAATATTATCATAGATTTCATAAGATCTTACCGCCAAATGCTCGTACACAGTTAACAAACTTTCATCACATAATGGTGGAAATGAAAAAATATAAAGCGAATTATTAAAAAAGATGGTGGTAGAATTTTTGTTGAAATTGGACAAAATTATAATGATGTATAAGATTATATTAATTTTATTAAATATTAAATTTGTTCGATTTAGAATGTAATGTAATTGTAAATGTTATATATATATATATATTTATTTATGAATGAAAATATTATACATTTTATTTATGAATAATCTTTAAAAAGAATAAAAAATAATTTTATTATGAATATAATTGCATAATTTTTATCTCTACTCTTTTTATAGCCTGTAAATGACAATATGAAAATAATAATTACGAAAAGACATACTGTACATTTATTTATAAAATAATACATGCTACAATAATACTAATCGTGGTATTATGTTACCATTCTATACAATTAATTTCTCGTACTTAGTGGCTCACGTATTATGTACCTTAGGTAGCAACGAACGATCAACACGTATCTGTGTTATATAAATTAGTTTTTCTATTTTATTATACCTTAATAAAAACCCCATTATATTTTGCAACATTTATGACAAATCGTATCGATTTATCCTTATGTTGAACTTAATAATATTCGTAGATTTATCTTTCCTTCTTTCCCAAAGATAATTATAGCTTTTATCAATTATGCTTTTTTTTGAACACAAATACTTTAATTCTTTGCGATTTACTGTAATCAGAGTTAATGTTTATTGAAATTTCAATTTCTAAAAAATAAAATGTTTATTAGTCTATTATATTTTTCGTGAATTATGTTAGATTATTAAGTAGTACTGACTTAACAACATTATTATATATAGCTATGCCTCTAGCAAATCGCAAAGAAATAATAAATATATAAATATTTCTCGTGCATTGCGACTGTCAATATACATTTTCTCGTAATTACTTTTCAAAGTGAAGGATCTAAACCAGCGTTGCAGTGGTTACAGTATACCGTCAATCGCGTGCAAAACTCCATTTGTTGCCGGTATATTATGCGTTACGACATGTACTTCGTTC